TGGAGACTAGACATGGTGTTTGGATTGATTGACCAATTAGGTCAAAGTTGTGTTGTGACTGACTGTAATGGGTCACGGGTTTTTCTTTAGTATATTTTAGTATTAGTATAGTATAGTAGTACAGTACAATATAGTATAGCTTAATAAAGCATTTATTCAGCCTTCTGAAATCATGGAGTCAAAGCTCACTATTCCCTGCTCGGGGGTCACACTGCTACTATAGACTAAATTAAATTCCTTAATACAGATGAGAATTTGCCAATTCAGGCTTTATTAAAGGGCAAGTGTTCTGCTTTTGTGGAAAGATAATCTAGATAACTGTTTGCTGTACATCCTAGAGGGAGCTTTGCAGTTTAGGATGAAAAGGAAAAAGACATTTCTCTTCAGAAGAGTCTTGAAAGAGCTTTTTGTATTGCCAGAAGCCGCTACACTGATATTGACCAATGTGGGAAATGGATTTGTAGAGAGTTCTCAGGGCCTGACAGGAGGCTCACACAGTATGCATCCATATGCAAGCTTTGAGATAAGAAATGCTGACTTAGAAATGCTACGGAATAGAACAGATATTGTTGAGAAAGAATTGGAGCTAGAAAAAAATTTCAAAGGATGGTCTTGTAAATAAGACTGGATACTTTGGAGAGAAAGAACTATAAAAGATGCATTGTAGTAGGACAATGAGGGGTAATTTTAGATTATTGGCTTGAAGGCATCTACAGCATGGTGTGGCAAAAAAAGCTGATAGGCCAAGAAACGCTGATAGGAAATAGTCAGCTTCTGATTATGGTAGCGTGAATGATTGTGAACATCTGTATTGTCTCACCCTTCTTATGAGATTGAAAATGGAATAAAAGTTTTTAAAATGCCTCTCAGTTGCCCCATCTCTGGGTCAGAAAAGGGTGTTGTCCAACACATTGGTGTTCCCGTGTCAGGAGCAAATAACTTGACTAAACTGACTGACCTAAAAGCCCTGAGGTAATTTCTGTAAAGTTCTGCTGAGAGAAGCACAAATCCCAGGATCGTAACTCTTACAAAAAGAGAGAAGTTGGATTTCTCCCCTTGTTGCTGGCTCGATCAGGATGGAGATGCGACAAGGACTTGCATGTTGTTCAACATCAGGTGAGCCTCAGGGAACATATTAGGACACAACATGGCCAATTTACCTAGAGATGTTTATAAAAACCTCAAAGATCTGGTCAAATCTAATTCCTGTAATGTTTCAAAAACCGAGTTAAAAGACTTATTATTATATATTCAGAAGTAGTTTCCAGCTACAGATAAAACTTCCATGTTTTCACTCCCTCTTTGGAAACTATTAGGACTGAAACTATACAGTGCTTTTACCACAAACAGAGATCAAACAGCTGCTAAGTTGCTTCTGATGTGTTGTCCTACCATGATTGATATGTTTAAACATTCTACTAAACCCTCCACTTCCTCAGCTGCATCTGCGCCTTCCCCCAACACTGAGTCCCCAGACCTCCCACCTCTGCTTCAGCTGTAACTCAAGACCCTGACATTCAGACTGGGGCTGTGACACCTCCACCCCTAGCATGGCAGTGTGCCCCCCAACTTTCACCATTTTCCAAGCCATGTCTGGGTCCCCACTCTGCCCCCCCAGAACATGAGAGCTCCTTGCTACTTGTGAGAAAAAGTGCAGGGAGAGAAAGAGGGAAAAAATTCTCGACACCAGTATCTCTGTTAGCAAAAGGCAGGATTTCTCTGTTAGTATTACAAAACAAACAGTCTCTAGTCACCGTGAAATTCCTCCGAGACAGTCTGTAATGTACAAGGTTGTGAGGGAGGAAAATAACAGTGATAATTCTAGTGATTCTGAACAATAAGTTAACCTATTACATACTAGTCCCGCAAAAACAGAAAGAAAACCTACTTTACCTTCTGTTGATTCAAGAAATAATTCAAAAAGACTGTCCGATTAGGGTAAGATGAGATGTAAAGTCATACAAGATAAAACCATCTCCCAAGTGATCCCAACTTATTACCCCCAGGGGCACCATGCAAACTAACAAATTCCAAATTAATTTATTTTTAAAAAAACTTTTACCATGAATACATTCACATAGGAAATGTATTCACAACAAAAGCAAGACTTTTTAATTATAGGCAAGGACAGTAATAAAATTCTTCAACTTTCAATTTTTCCGACTGTGGTCTCAGCAAATTATAATGAAGAGGTGATCATTTCAGCTCTTACTTACAATGCTCCAATGGTAATTGAAACAAAACCAGAAATAGCTATCACTATTGCATTACCAATGAGTAGAAATAAGCAAGTTGTATGCTGAGAAATGCCTTTTGAGAGTTCTGGCCCGGTGCCTAATGTCCTTTGGCTAAAACATGTCAGCAATGAATGGCCAGAGCTGACGTGCAGTCTAATGCACTTTGGTCAAACTGTTCATATTGCAGGTATGCTGGACACAGGGGCTGACATCACTGTGATTTCTCGTGCATCCTGGCTGTGCAATTGGAATTTGGTGACACCCATGGGTGCTCTCACAGGAATTGGAGGAGCTATCTTGTGTCTGCAAAGTGAATTCATGGTTACTGTTACCCAAGGCCCAAGGTCCCAAGGCAAGGACAGCAGCCATCAGTCCCTTCATGGTGCAGAAGCCCATCACAGTACAGGGAAGAGATGTGTGTCCCAGTGGGGAGCAAAGATAGAAGTGGGTGTTTGACAAAAACCACAGCAATGCCTGCCGCTCTGAAATTATCATGGAAAACCAATCAGCCAATTTGATCAATGGTTTCTTGAGCAGAAAAAATTGAATATTCTCCAAAAATTAGTAAGTGAACAACTGCAAAAGGGCCACATCAGACCTACAAACAGTCCCTGGAATTCCCCAGTTTTTGTAATTCATAAGGCAACTTTTGATTCCTGAAGATTGCTCCATGACCTGAGGAAGATCAACGATATCATAGAGGACATGGGGCCTCTGCAACCTGGACTTCCCTCTCTTTTGATGATTGCACAGGATTGGCCTCTTGTCATCTCTGGATGCTGACAGAGAGAAAAACAGACAACTTTCCCAGGCATTGTCCTAGGGAAGTTGTGAGAATGCTCAGAGAAAGAATTAAAACAATTATCTTAATCTCTGCACCTGGTATTTGTGAACATGTGGAATGTTTGTACATGTTTATGGAAAGATATTTTACCAGAAGATGTTGTTCGTCATTAACCAGTGGTGTGAGGGGCATTCAGGTTCTGGGTGAACAATCTTGTCTATAAATATGTGAAGTTCCTAATAAATCTCGCTTTATGCCCTCTGATCAAAGGAATCAATGTCACCTTTCTTCATTCGTTCCTAACTCAACAACAACAGTGTATCACAGGGAAACCTAGTCTTAAGTAAGAACTGTGTGTAAGGTTTCATGGTGTCAAGTTTATTGATTTGAGTATAATGTAAGTACTAATGGAAGAAGGGGTGGATAATGTCTTAGGTTGGAAAATGTGTCTGGGAGTATGTGTTCTATTGCTGTCTGTTAGAGATAGGGCAGTTATCTTCTGCTAATTGGGCCACCTGTTAAAACCAGGTGGGGCAGATTTCTTCATCTCTTCCACAACCAATCCTCCCTCCAGAAAATATCTTCTGTTAGTGGGCCACTGAATCTCACTGCATGATGAAAAAATTACATCATCCCACTGGGAGATGGTCTACCCAGGGGAAGGACTCAAGCATTCCTACCTGGATATAATCTGAGATTTGGAACACCATGGCAGCCTTTTCCCACTAGATTCCCAGAAGAGCAGCTTTTTTTTCACTAGATTTCCAGAAGAAGACCAAGCGCATCTACACGACCGCTGAACCTTCAGAGGAAGACTATACCCTTCTACAGGATCACTGCTTCAAAAGAACCACATCCACCACTCCAAGAAAGCTACAGCCACCATGCTGTCCATTTTTGGACTGCTACCAACACCCTGACCAACAGAGTGTCAGGGCATATTCTGACTCTGTCAGTAGTTTGTTTTTGTACTAGTGCATTTGTGTTTTAATTTTCCTAATAAACAACTACTATTCCTACTCCCATGTCTTTGCCTGAGAGCCCCTTAATTTCAAAATGATAATTCAGAGAGAGGGAGTTTGCATTTTTGATTTCAAGGGAGGCTCCTTCCTTTCTTAGCAGACACCTGCCTTTTCAAACCAAAACACAGGGCCATGACTTTCCACAAGAGGAGTCACTGGTGTACATATCATGGACCTCTCTCAATCCTATTAAAGTATGGAAATCCTGGTTTAGAATACACGGATATGAAACAACTTTGAGAGACAGAGACTAAAATGGCTTGTGGATTTATTATTTTTTAGTAATGGGGAAAATTACCCAAAAGGCGTTGTTTTATAACATTTTAAAATATACTACATAAAAATTAAAAACTGCAATAAAAAGAGTTATATAAAGAAGTGCTTTTTAATTAGAAACACAGAAATGTGAAGATATGGATGACATTTTCATAACAATATGAAATTACAAAAAATATCTACAGTGAACCACAATACAAAAGTAGGTAAGACTGTACTTTATTTAGATCTTGTGTTGCTGGAGAGTTTTTCTTCGGGAGAGAAGCTAGTATTTCTATGAAGAACTCTCTCACATCTGATAATTAAATTTCCTTATTTCTTCTAGTGCTGGGTATCACATCCCGCCTGAAAGGAGCTACTGAAGGCAAAGAACTGGTTCTGCGTGGTCTGAAACTGAAGGATGAAGACCCAATACCAGCTGTGTTTCCTGTCAGGTGGGAGGGCGTGTTGCTTGAGGGCATGGTAAAAGCTCTGTTTTGTCTCGTGTGGGAGGATGCATCCATGGATGGCCCAATATTGGATCTGGTTGGAATCAGGTTGATGGCTGGTTCCATTGATGACCCAAAACCTGTTCGACGTGGCATCGCACTGGAGGGGATGTTGGTGTCAGATGCACTGTAAGGTCTGGCTGGTAGCACAAAGGGGGGTACGTTGGTTCCAGACACAGTGTGGACTCTGTGTCTAGGCACTCTCCGCTGTGCTAGAGTAAACAAAAGGATAAAAAACAAATCGAGAGAGAATTAACGTTTGCTCTTAAATGCTCCTTACAAGGGCATGTATGTGAAGTACTTCTAGATGTTTGCTCCTTAAATGCTTCTTTGAAACACATGGCACCTGATTATTATATATAAATATTTAATAGACAAAGGACATTAGCACAAGTATCCTAGCCTGTAAATAGTTGCTATAGCACTTTAAATGAAGTGCTACAAGTATTCACATAAAGACATCTTTTATTTCTCATCATATTAACTCCAAAGCTGTGTTTTTTATTCAAGGAAACAAACTTATTCTGAATGTTAATGTTTTATAACAGAAAGAAAGGAAAAAGCCTTTGGCTCTTAAAAAGAAAGAAAGAACAAAAGAAAGAATGAAAGAAAGAATGTAATTAAACTAAGTTAGAAAAGAAAACATTCAAAAAGAAGACTTACCAGCAGGAGTAGAAGTAGCAGGTGTACGGGGTGCTCTGGGTCCAAAGCTCACCTGAAATATATCTGTTCAGAGATAATACATTTACTTCAGAGAAGGTAAATTTTTAAAAGCAATGAAAAGCACAGAACTGAAATGGTTGTGTTTGCAAGAGAATATGATTAAAAAACGCTAATGGTATGTAACATAATGAAAGGAAGAAGCATATGGCAAAAAAAAAAAAAAAGTAAGAAAAAAATTCAAAACATCAAAAAGCCACCCACACACTACTGCTACTCTGGAAAACCAAAAAAATCATAAAAAGCAACCAACCAAAAAAGAACCCCAAACCAAAAATAGCCAAGCTATTGGGCACCAATGGAGAGAATCACGGCAGTAATTTTAATGCCTGTGTTAGCTTTCACCACCCCTTTCTCTTCTGATAAATGTCTCAGAATATTTCTGTTAGCAATAGTTTTAATGCTCCATTATGTTTACAATTAAGGATTGTTGTATTTGACTGCAGAAGCTGTGCAGCATAAAGGCAGATGCTGGCTAGGAACTCACATCCCAGTGACTACAATTATTTGACAAGCAGACTTACCATCATGAGCTTGTGCTAGTGCAGGAGGTGTACGAGCAGCTTGGGCTGAAACCGGAAACTGAAAAGAGGCTGTTCAGAGAAAATAAAATGACTTCAGAGGAGGTACATTTTTAAACGCAAAGAAATGCACAGATTTGAAATGGCTATAGTTGCAATAAATTACTATTTCAAAATATCTGCGATAGTGTTATTGCTCCATTATGTTTACAATCAAGTATTGTTGTATTTGTCTTCAGAAGTTGTGCAGCATGAAGCAAGATGCTGGCAAGGAACCTACATCCAAATGACTATAATTTCTTGACAAGCAGACTTACCATTAGGATCAGGAGTACGAGGTGAAATGGTTCCTTGGGGTACGAAGACAAGCTGAAATGATTCTGTGTAGAGAAAGTAAATGTACTTCAGAGAAGGTGAATTTTAAAAATATGGAAATATATGAAACTGAAATGGTTATGTTTGCAAGGGAAGGCTATTACAATGATTTATCACATAAAGAAAAGAAATGCCTTCAGTAAAAAAAAAAGTTGAAGGCGGAGATAATTTTAAAACAAAAAAATTAGAGCCCCAACACCAAACCACCCAGCGGAACCACTCCCCAAAACCAAAGAACCCAACCAACCAAATCCAAACTGAAAACAAAAATTTTTCATGCAGTCAAGAACCAAAAGAAAAATTACACAAGTAATTTTAATCCCTGTGTTAGGTTTCACCATCCTCATTCTCTCTTTAAAAAATCTCACATTTCTGTTAGCACTCGTTTTATTGCTCCTTATGTTTAAAATAAAGTATTGTTGTATTTACGTACAAGATCTGTTCAGCATGAAGGGAGATGCTGCCTAGAAACCCGCATCCAAGAGACTATAATTTCTTGAAAAGCAGACTTACCATCAGGAGAAGTAGGAGTAGCAGGTGTACTGGCTGCGTGGGATGAAATTGAAGGCTGAAAATTACCTGTTGAAAAAAAGTAAGTTTTAACAAACAAGGAAACACTAAGACCTGAAATGCTTATGGTTGAAAGGAAAAGTTATCATAAAAATGTTAATGGTTTAAAACAGAAAGAAAGGAGAAGGGACTTAGTTTAAGAAATGTAATTAAAAGAAATACTAGAAAAATAAATCAAAACTAAAACACCACCCAACCACAAGGACCACTTTGAAAAACCAAAAAGAATCCAACCAACCAAGCAGCTAAACCCAGACTAAAAAAAAAAAAAATCTAAGCAAATACAGGACACATAGGGAAAAAAAATCCTCCAGTATTAATTTTAATCCCTGTGTTAGCCTACATCTTAAAAAGTATTATAACATTTCTGTTTGCACGAGGTTTAAAGCTCCATTGTGTTTATAATTAAGTGTTGCGGGATAGGCCTACAGAAGCTGTGCAGCAGGAAGGGAGATGGCAGCTAGGAACCCACATCCCAGTGACTACAATTGCTTGAAAAAGTGACTTAAAAGAAGGAGCAGGATGACCAGGAGGTGTACAAGCTGCTAGGGCTGAAACACGAGGCTGAATATTATCTCTTGAGGAAAAATGGGATTTACAAACCAAGGAAATGCACTGATTGCAAATGGTTATGATTGAAAAAAAAAGCCTATTACAGGATATGAATGGTTTGTAATAGAAATAAATGAAAACCAATTTTGCTATTAAAAAAAGGAAAAAGCAAGCAAGCATGCAATTAAAAGAAGTAATAAAAGGAAAAAAATCAAAATGCACACACCCACCCAATCACCTCAATCTCTCCCCATGGATGTGGGCTCTCAACCCATATCCAAATCACTATAACGTTTTCACAAGCAGACTTATAATCAATAGCAGGAGTAGGAACACGAGGTGTACTGGCTCCTTGGGGAGGCCCTATGGAGTCTGTTCAGAGAAAGTGAATTTGCTTCAGAGATGGTAAATTTTAAAAAGAAAGGAGATGTATGGAATGGAAATGCTTATAGTTGGAAGGAAAGGCAATGTTGGTTCCAGAGACAGTACAGTTTCTGTAGGATGACACACCTCCAAATATGTTGCTTCCAGACGCAGTATAGTATCTGCTGGGTGATTCGCCTTCAGACGCAGCATAGTATCGGCTGGGTGACGTACTGAAGGCTGAGCCGCTTCCAGACACAGTATAGGTTCTGCCGAGTGTCAGACTACGGAGGCCTGAGTCGGTTCCAGATAGACTATAGGATCTGCTGGGTGACGAAGTGAAGACAGAGTCGCTTCCAGACACAGTATAGGTTCCGTCGGGGGTCATACTACTGTAGTTTGAATCGGTTTCAGACAGACTGTAGGTATTGAATCTTGGACGTCCCCAGAATGCTGGAATAAAAAAAAATGAATAGAAGCAAATCAGGAGAGAATCTACATTTGCTGTTAAATAGCTCTGACAAGAGTAAGTGTTTGAAGTACTTACAACTGCTTGCTCCTTATCTTAATTGCTTATTTGAAAGACATGGCATATAAATATTCTATATTAATCCTTAATAGACAAAGGACATTAGCACAAGTATCTTGCCCTAGGAATTATTGTAATCACATGTTGTTTGAAGTTCTACATATTCTCACAGACATATTTTTCCCCACGTCCTTATAAATTCTAGGGTGTGGTTTTTAATCAAGGAAACAAACTTCTTCTATAGTTGGATAAAAATTTAAATCCCTGTGTTACTTACACCACTTCTTTCTTGTGTGAAGAATGTCTCAGAACATTTCTCTTTGCACTAGGTGAATTGCTCCATTATCGTTATACTAAAGTGTTGCTGTATTTGCCTACAGAAGCTGTGTAGCGTGAAGGGAGATGCTGGCTAGGAAGCCACATCCCAGTGACTACAGTGACTGCTCTCTTGAAGAAGAGACTTACCAGCAGGACCAGGACCAGGAGCCGGAGCAGAACCAGGAGCTGGAGCAGGAGCAGGAGCAGGAGCTGGAGCAGGAGCAGGAACAGGAGCTGCTAGACATGAAAAGCGAAGCTAAATATTATTTCTTGAGTAAAAGTAAGATTTAAAAATCACATCGATGCACATTGGAAATGGTTATGGTTGAAAAGAAAGGCTATTAAAAAATATAAATATTTTACAATAGAAAAATAGGAAAAACAATCCTGTTATTTAAAAAAAAAATCTTTAAAAGAAGCAATGAAAGAAAAAAATTAAAAATCAAACACCCACCCACCCACCCACTTCAACAGGTCCCGAAAACTAAAGGGTCCAACCAACCAAGCACCCAAACCCAATGTAAAACCAAAACAAACCCATAAGTATAAAGAGACCAACGGAAAAAACTTTCCAATAATTATTTTAAACCCTGTGTTAGCTTCCACCATCCTATTTAACTTCTCTAAAGAGATCATAAGATTTCTGTGCACTAGGTGTAATGGTCCATTTTGTTTACAATGAAGTGTTGCTGTATTTGCATACAGGAGCTGTGCAACATGAAGAGAGATGTTGGCTAGGAACCCACATCCTAGTGACTGCAAATTGCTTGAAAAAGAGACTTACCAGCAGGAGCAGGAGCCGGACCAGGACCAGGACCAGGGCCAGGAGGACCAGGAGGTGTACGAGCCGCTTGGGGTGAAACATGAGACTGAATATTATCTCTTGAGGAAAAATAGGATCTCCAAGCCAAGGAAATACACCCATTGGAAATGGTTATGGTTGAAAAGAAAGGCTGTTACACAATATGAATGGTTTGTAATAGAAATAAAGGAAAACTACATTTGCAATTAAAAAAAAAAGGAAAAATCATGCAAGCATGCAATTAAAAGAAGTAATAAAAGGAAAAAAATCAAAATGCAAACACCCACCGCAAACAGTCCCCTAGGATGTGGGATGTCAACCCACATCCAAATCACTATAACATTTTCACAAGCACACTTACCACCAACAGCAGGAATAGGAGCACAAGGTGTACTGGCTCCTTGGGGAGGCCCGATGGAGTCTGTTCAGAGAAAGTGAATTTGCTTCAGAGATGGTAAATTTTAAAAAGAAAGGAGATGTGTGGAACGGAAATGCTTGTAGTTGGAAGGAAAGGCAATGTTGGTTCCAGAGACAGTACAGGTTCTGTAGGATGACACACCTCCAGACATGTTGCTTCCAGATGCAGTAAAGTATCTGCTGGGTGACGTACTGAAGAATGAGTTGCCTTCAGATGCAGTATAGTATCTGCTGGGTGATTCGCCTTCAGATGCAGTATAGTATCTGCTGGGTGACGTACTGAAGGCTGAGCCGCTTCCAGACACAGTATAGGTTCTGCCGAGTGTCAGACTATGGAGGCCTGAGTCGGTTCCAGATAGACTATAGGATCTGCTGGGTGATGAAGTGAAGACTGAGTCGCTTCCAGACAGAGTGTAGGTTCTGTCGGGTGTCATACTACTGTAACCTGAGTCGGTTTCAGACAGACTGTAGGTTCTGAATCTTGGACGTCCCCAGAATGCTGGAATAAAAAAAATGAACATAAACATATCAGGAGAGAATCTACATTTGCTGTAAAATAGGCCTGACAAGAGTGCGTATTGTAAGTTCTTACTATTGTTTGCTGCTTGTCTTAATTGCTTATATAAAATGCATGGCATATAAATATTCTATATTAATCCTTAATTGTCAAACGACAAGTATCTTGCCCTAGGAAGTATTGTAATCAGACGTTGTTTTGAAGTTTTACATATTCTCACAGACATATTTTTCCCCTCATCCTTATAAATTCTAGGGTGTGTTTTTTAATCAAGGAAAGCAACTTCTTCTACAGCCTGACAAAAACTTTAATCCCTGTGTTAGTTACACCACTTCTTTCTTGTGTGAAGAATGTCTCAGAACATTTCTCTTTGCACTAGGTGAATTGCTCCATTATCGTTATACTAAAGTGTTGCTGTACTTGCCTACAGAAGCTGTGTAGCGTGAAGGGAGATGCTGGCTAGGAAGCAACATCCCAGTGACTACAGTGACTGCTCTCTTGAAGAAGAGACTTACCAGCAGGACCAGGACCCGGACCCGGACCAGGACCAGGACCAGGACCAGGAGCAGCAACGAGAGCCAGAGCAGGAGCAGGAGCAAGAGCAGGAGCAGGAGCAGGAGCTTGAGGTCTAGGCATTGCTAGGTGTGAAACATGAGGTGAAATTTATTTCTTGAGTAAAAGTAACTTTTAAAACCAAGGCAATTAACAGATTGGAAATGGTTATGATTGAAAGGAAAGGCTATTATAAAATAAGAATCGTTTATAAAAGAAAAATAGGAAAAAACAATTCTGTAAAAAAAAAAAGTTTTTAAAAGAAGCAATTAAATAAGAAAATAAAATATCAAACACCCACACACCCACCTCAGCCACTCCCCAAAACCAAAAAAACTCCAAGCAACCAAACATCCAAACCCTTATAAAACCAAAAGAAACACACAAGGACAAAGACACCAATGGAAAAAGTTTCCATTAATAATTTTAAACCCTGTGTTAGCTTCCACCATTGCCTTTCCCTTCTCTAGAAAGTATCATAACATTTCTGTTTGCACTAGGTGTAATGCTCCATTACGTTTACAATGAAGTGTTGCTGTATTTGCCTACAGAAGCCGTACAGCATGAAGAGAGATCCTGGCAAGGAATCCACATGCCAATGACTACAATTGCTTGAAAAAGAGACTTACCAGCAGGAGCAGGAGCCGGACCAGGCCCAGGACCAGGACCAGGACCAGGACCAGGACCAGGACTAGGACCAGGACCAGGAGGACCAGGAGGTGTACGAGCTGCTTGGGGTGAAACAGGAGGCTGAATATTATCTCTTGAGGAAAAATGGGATTTAGAAACCAAGGAAATGCACCAATTGGAAATGGTTATGGTTGAAATAAAAAGCGTATTAGAGAATATGAATGGTTTGTAATAGAAATAAATGAAAACCAATTTTGCAATTAAAAAAAAGGAGAAAGCAAAAAAGCATGCAATCAAAAGACGTAATAAAAGGAAAAAGATCGAAATGC